GGGTGGGATGTGGTTTCAACTGCCCGCGTGAGACAATTGTGTCCCTGACTCGTGTCCCACCTTTTGTGGGGCTGTTGGGGACACGGCAGCTCCCTCTCCACCCAGAAGTCCGCATGGAACGGAGCCTCCTCCCCTTGTGTCCCTCCCTTTCGTACGGAGGACACCGCATCTCCCCCTGCAAAAAAACAAAACAAACGAACGAAAAAAAAACCACCAAACGGAAACAAAACAACCACGGGTGTTTTGGTGGGGCGTGACTTCAGCCACCCGCCTGGGACAGTGCTGTCCCCCACGCGTGTGTCCTCCCTTTTATACTGGCGCTGTTGGGGACATTGCAGCTTTCCCCGTTAAAACAAAAAAACAAACAAACAAAAAAAACCAAACGCAAAAAAACCCAACAAAAACCCAACCAAATAAAAAAACGCGCGGGGCAATGTTGTGTCCCCCCCCTCCCTGGCCCCCTCATTTCGGGGGGGGGGGGGGGCATTGAGGACACCGCAGCTGCGTTCCGCCCCCAAAATAAAATCACGGGTGGGGTGTGCCCAGCCACCCGCGTGGGCCCCGGGGGAGGGACCCCCCCGGCGCGGCTGCAGCATCCGGGCCGGCCCCGCCACATCCTGCCGCCGGAAGGAGCCGCGGCCCGGGACAGCCCCCCCGCCGTGACGTCATGCGGGGCCCCCGCCAGGCGTGACGCCAGCCCCGCTCTGTGACGTCACGCGGCGGGCGGGCGGCGCCGCTGCCGCGGGGAGGGGGATCCCCCCCAGCCCCCGTTTCCCCGGTGTGACCCCCACCCTCCCGCCCCGAGCCGCCCCGGTGCGAGGTGCGGGCTCCGGTGGGTGCCGCCCGCCGCCCCGCCACGTCCCCGGGGGGGGACAGGGACAGGCGGAGGGGACACGGACACGCGGGGGAGGGGGGTCGGCTCTGCCGCAGCGTCGGGGTGACCTTGCGCGGGGGGGTGGCGGGTCTCCCCCCGCGGGTTCCCCCCACCCCGGGGCGGGGCTCGGTGCCCCCCGGTGCCCCCCGCGGGGGCGGGGAGGGGCCGCCCCCGCCCCCGCCCAGCGCCGCCCGCAGCCGGGGCCGGGCCGCTCGGTGCGGGGCGGCCATAAATCACGGCGGGCAGAGCCCCCGCCCCGCCGCCGCCCCCGGGACCGGGCAGGGGGGGCCCAGCCCCGCCGCCGCCACCCCCGCCCCCAGCCCCTGCGGATGTGGCGGAGCGGCCCGGCCGCCCCGCACCGGCCCCGGCACCGGCCCCGGGGGGCCCCGCTCCGCCGAGCCCCGCACCCCGCCCCGCTTCCCGCCCGGCGCTGAGCCCCCGCCGCAGGTACGGTCGCGCTCCGGGCACCGCGGAGGGGAGGAGGACGATGAGGAGGATGCTGCCACCGCCGGGGGGAGGGGGGGACCCTCCGGGGAGCCCCTTCCTCGCCGCCCTCGGTGGTGCGGGGGGTCCCTTGGCACCTGCAGCCCCCCTGCCCATGGTGCGGGTCGGGGGGGGGGGACGTGGCCCCGCCGCACCCCCGAGGGAAATGAGAAGAGGGGGCTTCCCCGCTGCCCGGTGGGAGCCGGGGGGTGGCCGTCACCCGGCGTCCCCCCGCACCCGGGCGGGTGTCCTGACCTTGGCCGTGGGGCGGGGGCTGCGGCGGGGACGTGCTGGGTGGCTCTGCCCGGTTGCGGCCACCTCCGGGGACACACCAGTGTTCCCACGGCGCGAGAGGGGAGGAAGGGTGGCATTGGGTGGGGGGTGCAGGGCGTCCCCATCCCGGTCTCACGCCGGCGGTGCCACCGCCCGGCAGCCGCCCGTCACCCCGGTCCCCTTCGCGGGGGCCTCCCAATCCCCATCATGAGAAGTGACAGTCCCCGCCGTGGGGGGTGACAATCCCACGGCTTCGTGGGGCTGATGCGTGGGGTGGCCAAGCCCAGGCTGTGCCACTGCGGGGTGTTTTGGGGACTAGGACGGTGTGACCCTCTCCCTGAGGTGCCAGCAGCGGGGACCACAAATTGTCCCCGGTGTCCCTAGGCACTGCTGCGGGCGCTCGTTCCCTACCCAGCATGGAGAAACCCTGCAGCCAGTGGACACCTCCCCTTCCCCATGCCTTTGTCACCCCGCTGTCACCGCCTCCCTCAGCCAGGGTCCCCATGTGCCCCTTCCCCACGGTGCTGCCGCACCCAGGGTGCTGATCCGCTGGGTGCTGGGGACCACCCTGCTGCTGTCCCCGCCTGCTCCAGCTGTGTCCCCAGGCAGGGGTGGCAGGGCCCCTGATGCTGGCGGCACTGCTGTGGGGCTGCTCCCGGGGTGGCAGGGGGCTGCTGTCAGCCCTCTGCCAGGGTCCCCGCGGCTTCCACATGCCCGGGAAGGGAGAACCATGGCATCGACCACAGCCGTGTCCATTCCTGGGGACACCTTCGGCAGCTGCCGGCAGCCCGGCTGGCGTGGGGTGACGGGTGCTGGAGGGTCACAGTGACAAGATGGAGCTACCGGCAGGATGTGACCCCCCTCCCAAACCCGTCAGGCACCGGTGGGCTCCTGTGAGGAGTGGCTGTGGCAGCACCATCTGCAGCGACGGCGGGTCCCACGGGCGCCCGTGTCCTACCAGCAGCCGCGGGGACAATGACCCGCATCCTGCCAACCCACCCACGCTGCCCTGGCACGGGGGGCTCCGGGGACTGCCCCCCGTCGCGGCGGTGCCAGCCTGCCGCTGCCAATTGCCACGGCGGCGGAGACCGAGCCCTGCCTGCAGCGCTGGCATCGCTCCCACTCCCCGAGCCCCGGGGTCACCATCCCCTGGCGATGGCACTGACATCCCGCACCGCCGCCATCCCCGAGCCCACCGCGCCTCGGGAGCCTCTGCCCGCGGTCCCTCCGTGCTATTCCTGGCGGGTTTGGGGCTGGAGGGGGGATAACGCGACACCCCGGCAATGCCAGCAGCCCGGAGACCTGGCACCCCGCCGGCTGCACCGGGGTCACCCCGGGTCCCCCAGCCGTGCCGGCGGCCAGGCAGTGTGGGGGGCCCAGGGGACCCCAGCCTGGCCGGTGGGGATGGGAGGGCTCCCCCGCGCCCGGGCTCCATCCCAGCGGCCCCCACCCGGACTGGGAAGCCCCTGGGCCCAGCCCCGCGACGGACTGGTTTGAACTGGTGTGGCGGGGGGGAAGCTGGGCTGGGGCTGGGCTGGCAGCGCCTGGCGCGGGCAGGAGAGGCCATGGGGGGAGAGCAGGCAGGGGCAGGCAGGAGCGGGCAGGGGCCTCGCTCGGGGGCCGCAGGTGCTGGGGCGTCCGGCCAAGCCACCGCAGGGCTTGTCCCCGTCCCCATCCCGGCGGGGCCCCCGCGGCGCCCCGTTTCCCGAGGCCGCGTGGTTTGGCAGCCTCCTGCTCGCCCGCCCGCGGCCGCGCTGGGAGCCCTGGCGTCAGCGGCTGGAGGCCCCTTTCCCACCCGTCCCGCCCGGGGATGGCTGCGGTCCCCACCCAGCACCGCCCGCACCGGGACCCCCCAACCTCCCAGCCCTGAGGACGTGAGGATGCGACCGCCGTGGTGGGACCAGCAGTGACGCCTTGCCCGGCCCCACTGCGGGACCACCGTCGCCGGAGGGTTGCCAGCTCCCCGTCCCGTTTCCTGGACTGGGGGGGGGTCCCGCTGTGCCACCCCGGCTGCGGGGTCCTGCCCCCGTGTCTTTCTGTCCCCGAGCTGTGCCACCAGGCTGTGGGGCACTTGGGGGTCGCTGGAGCCCGAGCGCCGTGGTGGGACTCAGGGTGGCGACACCCCACGGGCACACCCCGCAGTGGGGTGCGGGGTGAGGCCCCCCCGGAGGGGAAGGGCCCCCACTGTAGGCAGGCCGGGAAAGCTCAGCGGCGTCCCCGTCCCGGGAGAGGGGACGCTGAGACGGGGCAGCCTCCACAGCGGCGGGAGGAGGTGGATGCTCAGGCGAGGACCCCCCCCCCGAAGGGGAGGGACCCGCCTATGGGGCTGACCCCACGGCCGCGGCAGGCTCAGGGTGATGCCGTGGGGCGGCTCCTCCCACGCTGGGAGCCGGGGACAGGAACCCCCCCTGGGGCCGGCCCCTCGGCCAGCACGGGGGTGCAGGCGGGGGGTCCCCCGCCCCGCCGCCCGGGCCCCATGCCCCCCGCGGCTCCTCCGCATTCCTCAGCGTCTGAGCCGGGCTGGACCCCCGCCAGCGCGGGGGGCCCCTCCGGCGGGGCAGGGCGGGGGACGGGCCCCCCGGGGCGGGGTGGGGATGGAGGGGCCCCCCCGCTGCCACGTGTGCTGGGTGCGCCGTGCCCCCCGACACGGCCCCTCGGCCGCCCCCACCCTGCCCTGGGCGATGCGGGTGGCCGCGGGGGCACAGCCGGGGGACGGCATCGGCTCCGGCTCGGGCGCTCACTGCTGCGCCGAGCTGCCCGTTCTCAGCTGCCCGCCAGATGTGCGGCGGCCGAGCCACCGGGGTGGCATTGTGTTCGGTGCCGTTCCATGCCATTCTGTGCCACGCCGTGCGGCCGGCAGCCCCCGCTCGGCCCCGGCAGCAGCGGCGTTGGCCGGCGGGGAAGGGGCCCCGGCGGGGGAGGAAGCTCTGCCGCCTCCGGGGCTGGGGCCAGCGGGCTCGGCCGCCCGGGTCACCGCCGGGCTGGTGGCCGCCACCGCCCTCCTCTGCCGCTGGGAAAGGCCTCGCTGGGGCAGGCCCGCGGGGACCGACGGATGGATGGATGAACGGATTGGGGGGGGTGGAATGGGGACACCACGGCTCTAGCTCCGCGGGTGCCCAGGGGATTTGGCAATCCCCGGCAAGGTTTGGTCGTGAGCCAAGGGGCTGTGCCGGCGACACGGAGAGGACACACTGGGGACACCGAAGGGCCGGGGTGGGGGGGGGGGCACGGTGCCATGCCCTGCCCTTTGCCCGCTGCGGGAGGGGGCCGCGGCAGGGTGGCCGGAAGGGACGGCACGGTCTCCGTGCCAGCACCGTGTCCTCCGGCCCGGAGCAGAGCGGGCATTGCCATGGGGCCGGGCTGGGGCGATGCTCCGGGTGGCACTGGTGCCCCCCGACCGTGCAGTGACCCCTGGGTGTCCCCCGCAGAGCCCACCCCGGCACCATGCATTCCCTGGAGGAGCCCTTGGACCTCAAGCTGAGCATCTCCAAGCTGCGAGCTGCCCGCGAGAAGCGGGGCCCCTCCGGCCCCCGAGCCCGCGCTCCCCAGCGCCCGGACACCCCGCCGGCCGGGGATGGCCGAGGGGGCAGCCGGGGGGGTCGCCGGGCCGTGCCAGCCCCGCCGTCGCCCGGGCTCCTGGGACACTCCAGGCTGGTGGAGCCGCGGGACGGGCGCTTCCCGGCCGCCGTGCCGGTGGTGGACCTCAGCCTCTCGCCCCGCTCCGGGGGGGAGTCTCCGGCTGGCAGTGCCTCGCTGTCCCCTGAGCGCCAGGGCAGCGGGGACCTGCCCGGCCCCCTCACCCCACACGTAAGTACGGCCGTGGCCCCCCCGAGGTGTCCCCAGCTGTGGGGACTGTGCCCGGACGGCGCTCCCGACCTCGGCAGCGTGCCCGGTGCTGCCGGTGTGCACACAGCCCGGGGTCAATGTCCTGCCCGGCCCCCCGGCCCCTGACCCCAGAGGTATCCCCGGGGCGGCTCCTGGGAGGTGTCTTTGGGGTGTTCCTGGGGGTCTCTGTGGGGTTTTGGGGTCCCTGGGGGAGGTGGCAGATCTAGGGGTTTTATGGGGAGCAGATCATTGCGGGGATCTCAGGGGAGGGATCTCTGGGGGGGGGTCTCTGCAAGGTCCCTGGGTTCCTGGGGGGCTGGGAAGAATCTCTTGAAGGGCTCGGGGGGCTGTCTCTGGGGGTCTCCATCCAGCTTGGCCCTGTACCCCACTGCTCCTCCATCTGGACTCTGCTCCAGGATTTCCAGTCCCTGCGCTACATCGATGGCCTCCCCAGCTCCTTCCAGTTCTTCCTGCCGCTGGGGGCCGGGGGGGCCCTGCACCTGCCCCCCGCCGCCTTCCTGCCCCCCAGCAAGGAGAAACGGCTCCCCCCCGAGCTGCCCCTGCCCAAGCAGCTCGTCTGCCGCTGGTCCAAGGTCAGCAGAGAGCGCTGGGGGCTGTGGGGGGTTATGGTGGGGGTGTGTGGGAGCTTTGAGGGGGTGTAGGTGGTGGATGAGGGGCTGGGACACCACATGGGCATTGCATGGATGGGGGGCACACAGGGGAATTGTGGGGCTGGGGAGAGGACATGGGGCTGGAAGGCCATGGCAGGGCTCTTTGGGGCTGGGGGCAAATCTTGGGGCAGGGAGGCCAAGCAGGGACAGTAGGGCTGGGAAGGTGGTGGGGGGGAGTGGGTGCTGTGCAGACATGCTGGGGGGGTGATACAGGGCTGGGGGCCGTGCAAAGGGCCATTTCCATGTCCCCAAATGCTGCTGCTGCTGCACACGGGGTGCAGGTGGGAGCTGGGATGGAGGGCAGGTGCTGGCAATAGTGGGGGGACTGGCCCCCCCTGGTGTCCACCCTGCTGGGCTCCCTCACCCCCAGCCTCCTGCCCACAGTGCAACCAGTTCTTCGACCTCCTGCAAGACCTGGTGGACCACGTCAACGACTTCCACGTCAAACCCGAGAAGGACGCGGGGTACTGCTGCCACTGGGAGGGCTGTGCCCGCCATGGCAGGGGCTTCAATGCCAGGTGGGCATGGGGGGCTCCAGGGGATCTCTGGGGGGCTGCTGTGGGGAGGCAGGAGCCCAGCACTAGGGATATGCAGGGGAAGCTTCCATTTGTCCCTCTCATGCAGGTGCGAGGTCCTGGGGGGGCTGGGTGACTGTGCTGGCCTGGATGTCCCTGTTCTCCCTCCCCATAGCTGAGGCACAGGGACAAGGACTTGTGCTGGAAGCAGGACTGACTCCCTCCCTAACATTCCCTCCCCGATGCTTCCATGGGCAAATGGTGATAGGACAAGGGTGAAGAGTTTTAAGCGAAAAGAGGAGAGATTTAGATGGGATATTGGGAGGAAATTGTTCCCTGTGAGGATGGGCAGGCCCTGGCACAGGGTGCCCAGAGAAGCTGTGGCTGCCCCTGGATCCCTGGAAGTGTCCAAGGCCAGACTGGACAGGGCCTGGGATGGTGGAAGGTGTCCCTGCCCAAACAGGGGGTTTAATTATACAAGCTTTAACCCATTCCTGACTCAGTGATTGCCCCAATCCCGGCAGGTACAAGATGCTGATCCACATCCGGACGCACACCAACGAGAAGCCGCATCGCTGCCCCACCTGCAACAAGAGCTTCTCCCGCCTGGAGAACCTGAAAATCCACAACCGCTCGCACACAGGTCAGCGCAGCCCCCGCGCTGCGCTCACTGGGGCAGCGGGGGGCTCGGGGGGACACGGGGGACACGGCGGGGCTGGTGCCCCCCGGCAGACCCGGTGCTGTCCCACAGGTGAGAAGCCCTACATCTGCCCCTACGAAGGCTGCAACAAGCGTTACTCCAACTCCAGCGACCGCTTCAAGCACACCCGCACGCACTACGTGGAGAAGCCCTACTCCTGCAAGATGCCGGGCTGCCACAAGCGCTACACCGACCCCAGCTCCCTCCGCAAGCACATCAAAGCCCACGGCCATTTCGTGTCCCCCGAGCACCCGGAGATGCTCAAGGTCCACCCGCCTCCCAAAACGTCCCTGGGCTCGGCGGAGGTGCCCTACGTTAACGGGGCGCAGCTCGTCATCCCCAACCCCGCCGCCCTCTTCGCTCCGCCGGGGCTGCCGGCGCTGCCCATCCCTTTGGCACCGGCGCCGCTCGACCTCAGCGCGCTGGGCTGCGGGGCTGCGGGCGCGCTGCCCGCCCTGCCCGGCCCCGTCCTGCCCCTCAACGGCGGCCCCTTGAACTTGGCCAAGAGCCCGCTGCTGCCCTCGCCCTTCGCGGCGGGGCTGGGGCTGCCCGTCATGTCGCTGCTGGCCGGCGGGGCCAAGGCCGAGGGGGAGAAGGGCAGCGGGGCCGAGGGGCGGCCGCCCAAGGCGGGCAAGGGGCTGGAGAGCCGGAAGGAGAGGGGCGAAAGGACGGAGCCGGGGCGGCCGCGGGTGCCCCCCGAGAGCCTGGCGCTGTTGCCGGGGGCCGTGCTCGACCTCTCGGCCGGTGTCAGCTCGGGGGGCAGCCCCGAGGCGCTGCCCCCCGGCTGGGTGCTCATCCCCCCCGGCTCCCTGCTGCTCAAACCCGCCGCCGTCAACTGAGGGGTCCGACGATGCCCGGGGTCAGCCGCCGGCCCCGTGGGCAGATCCCGCTCCCTGGGGACGGGGGGGCATGGCCCCCTCCTCCCCCTGCAGCCCCGGCGGGGCCTCTCTCGTGCTTTTACCCGTCACGAAAGAAGAACGGACTCTTCTGAGAAAAGCAATAATCCCTCGGCGGCCGGAGCCGGCTGCGACCCCGTGCTGGGGGCAGGTGGGGCACAGGGGGGGTCCCCCTGCCCCCTCTCCCCCCCGGCCCTAGGCAGCCGGATACGCCGCTATTTATTTCTCGACCAGCCCCCTGCTCCGACGGGGTCCCGCTCGGGCTCTCCTGCTTCCGCTGACTCGGCGTCTCCCTGCCCGAGGCCTCGGTGCTGCTGCCGCCCCCGGGCTCCTGCCGCACGGACAGCGGGCTGACAGCCGGGGGACCGCCCTCTCCGCAGCCCCGAGCCGTGCCCGGCCGTGCCGTGCCGCCCACCCCGCCCGGCCGCGGGCGGTGCCGCAGCCGGCTGGGCACTCACCGGCCCGGCGCCGCCCGCCTCCTCCCGCTCCCTCCGCACGGCCGCCCCGGCCCTCCCGTGACAAGGCACACGGCCGCGTGTGCTGCTCGCCGGGCTCGGCCCCTCTCTAGCTACGTTCATACCTAACCACGCACCGCGAGCTGATGCGGGCAGCGGCTGCCGGGCTCCCGCTCCTCGGGATGCGGCGCTGGGATGCTCCCGGGTGAGCCCCCGGCGTGGGGCGGCGTGCCCAGCCTCAGCGCGGGCGCAGCTCGGAGCCCCCCCGGGGCTCACACGCGTCCCGCTCGCTCCGAGCCGCGGGGGTCTCCCCATTCCCGCCCCCCGTGCTGAAGGAGCCCCGCCTGCCCCGCAGGGAGCCGGTCTCCCTGCCCTCACCGGCGGCCGCCCGGCGCTGCCCTAGCCCAGCATGGCTGCGGGCCCTCGACCAGGCCGCCCCGGCCGGTGAAACGTCTCCTCGCTCCTCATCGGTTTGTTGTTGCACATTCCAGGACATCAGTATTTTAACGGTCTCGAAGTGCCTTTCTATCGTAGTTTCTGGGTTGTTTTTATTTTCCTCCTGTTGGGCTCCATCGCTGTTAGCGTAGCGTGTAAGGACTGCGCAAGTACGAGATAAGCTAACGACTGTAACACTATATTCGTCCAGGGGAGAGGAAGTTTATTAAGAAAACAATAAAGTGAAGTTGAAGTAAGTTCCTGTTTCAGTCCGTGGCCGTGGTGCCAACGGCGCTGGGGACAGAGGGGTGCAGGGAGGGGGACGGGTGTGACCTTGGGGGCACGGCTGGCCCTGCCTGACCCCCAGCCGTGTCCCCGCGCTCCTGCTCAGGCGGCCTCGGCACCAGTGAAAGCCTGCCAGCATCTGCGGGGTGAGCTGCAGGTGGGGACAGCCACAGCGTGTCCCCTCACAGCCCCTCACCCCGAGCCAGCAGCCATCCACACTGGGAGAAGGTAACGGCACAGCACTCCCAGGGTACGGAGCCAGAGGCAGCCGAGCACTCCATCCAAGAGCATCCAACCTCCCCACCAAAAATAGCTCCTGCAGCCTCCCCCAGTGCCATTTGAGCCCTGGCAGCCTCAGTGCCCTGGGGACACCCCTTCTTCCCCAGCTGCCTCCTCCTCCTCGTCTTCCTCCCCCAGGCAAACGCAGCCCCTCGCAGGGGCCGATCCTGCCGGGATCGCTGGGCAGGCAGGTCCCTGCTCCCTCCCCGGGTGTGGAGCAGCCAGGCCACGTGCTGGAGGAGACGGCGTTTATTGGCTACCTATAAGTTAAGGGTGAGGGGCACGGGGGGCAGGGGTGGCAGGAGTCACGTCTCGGCTTTCCGCCCCTTCTCCTTGTCGCCCTTGGCCTGGATGCGCAGCTCCTCGTCCAGCCGCTCCTTGGCTCTCACCACCTGTGGGACACGGGGTGACACACGGGATGGGGTGACACACGGGGTTGGGTTGCCCCCGGGATGGGGTGCCCCCTCCCCTCCATGCCTCATCCCTTGGTATATCCAGGCTCTGCCTGTCCCAAAAGCCAGACAAGGGAAGGAAGGTGCAGCCCTGCTCCTCCCGGCGCTCACCTTGGACTGGAGGTAGAAGGAGCCTCCCACTGATTTGTCGTTCACCTTGAACAAGTGGTCGTAGTTCTGCCGAGAGAAGCTCTGGGTCAGAGGTATCCCAGCCTTGCCATTCCCACTCCCAAACGTTGGCAGCCTCCCACTCCCCAGAGAATTGCTGAAGAGTGATCCCGGGGGACACGGCTCCTCTGCCTGACACCTCTTAGGAGCCCCCGTGTTCCCAGCAGGGCACCTCCAGAGATCCCATGTGCCTTCCCTGAGCAGCCCCGCTGGGCAGATGCAGAGGCCAGGTCTGGAGGGCTGCTCCAGCTGGGGCAGGGAATCCTCAAGCTGTGCTTAACTGAGCCCAAGACAGCACGGGGGACCAGCTGCCACCCCCATGCACAGCAGCACCCTTGGAGAGGCCAGGCCCTGCTAGCACCATCCCTGCCTGGCTCCAGGGAAGCCTCTACCTTCTGGATCTCCTCAGGGTTGAGGCTGGAGACGTTGAGGATCTGCTGAGCTTCCTGGAGGCTGATGCCGATGATCCTGGAGGCAGCAGCGGACTGGGGCCTCTCGGCGCGTCCCCGTGCATTGGCTGCGGCCTGGCTCGCTGGGGACAGCAGGGCCTGAGTCCCCTGCCACCCGGCCCTCAGGCAGCACAGCCCGCGCACCTCCAGGTGCTCAGACCCCGGTGTCCCCCTCTGTCCCCATCCAGCCACCCCGGGGCCATCTGGACACCGTCCCAGTGCCAGGGAGGTGGCAGGGAGCAGGCAGGCACCGTTTGCCACAAGCAAGGCAGGGCTGGGGCTGCCACATCCCAGGGATTATCCCACTCTGCCCTTTGGAGTGCCTGGCAGCAGTGCCAGGATGAAGCCTGGTGACAACCTGGCAGTGTCCCCTGCAGGGGATGGGGCGCGCTGGGGTGCCCAGGGAAGGGTGGGGATGTGGAGCAGTGCCCAGCAGGGCAGCGTGGGCACACGGAGCAGCATCCCAGCTCCTACCTGCAAACTCCTGGCGCAGCGCCCGCATGAAGGCCCGTCCCACCACCTGGGCCCCCACCAGAATGATCTGTGCCAGGTACTTGGCCTGCGGGGACACCCTGCTGTCACAGCCACCGCGGCTCCTGTGCCCTGTCACCTCCCCTTGGGCCCTGCACAGCCCCACGGGCTCTGTCACCTCTCGCCATCCCCTGGGGCTCTGCTCTCACCCCATTGGACTCCTGTCATGGCCCTGTCCCCCCTTCTCTGTCCCTGTCCCCCCACCCAGGCCCTGCGATCTTTCCCAGGCTCTGTCCCCCCCCCAGGCCCTTTCTCCTCTCCCCTGTCCCCTCTTCGCTGGCCCCGCGACCCCTGCTCTGTCCCTGCTCCGCTTTCACTGGCCCTGTCCCCCCTCCTCTGGCCCTGTCCCCCTCCCCATGACTTCTTCCCCCTTCCCTGCTCCTGTGACCCCTTCCCCTGTCCCTGCCCCTCTCCCCTGACGCTGGCCCTCCCGGAACCAGCTGCCTGGCCCGCTCCCGAGCGCGCTGCCGCTGCCGGTCCCGGTGTCCCCCGTCCCCTCTCACCATGTCCCCGCCGCCGCTTCCGCCCGCGGTCACGTGCCCGGGGAGGGGCACGGCGGACACCGAGACGGCGGCGGCGCGGCGGAGCGGCCCGCCCGCGGCCACAGCGCCCTCTGCCGGCGGCCCCGCGCGGGAGGTCCTCCGGCGGCGGGGCGC